TACTTTTAAGGATACTAAATGACAGTGCTTATGTGATATGCTTAATTAATCATCTTTTGAGGGTTGCACAATGCACTAAAATATACTTTAATTAAATGGGCTCAATTTGCATTACATGCTACAACATAAAAACATGACCAAATTTAACATTAAAGGAGCTTGGCATTTTTGTATTAATGTGTGTGAATACATTTTATGTACTTCCCCCAACTAAATAGGGCTCTCTTTATCATTAGCAAAGAATGTTGCATATTGCATGGATAAAATAAGACATCCCCTGATAATAAGCCCAATCGGGCTTTTGAGCGCATGGCAATAAGGCCAAGCACTTATTTCAGGGTTCAAAAAAATATAAGACAGGGTCTTATTTTCGGGGAAACACAGCAGTTTCCTAATATGCTCTTTTTCTTATCAAGAAATCTTGATTGATCAAAAACACAGTAGATTGTGGCACTCATATCTACAAGCCTATCTGGTAAGTTATATTTTCTTTTCTCTTTTCTTAATATTTCTATTACTTGTTCCTTTCCCATGCTTATTATTCCATTTTCAACATATTATTAACTTGAAAATAAATAGTGTAATCAGGTATGTATGGATATATGTATAACATATTCAGCTACTGCTTAATTGATAAAATAAATCCTGTTGTCTGAAAAAAGCCCCATGAGTTAAATAATTATCTCCACTGTTCTCAGGACTGAAATATTTGTCATTCCCCTCACAGACACCACATCCCAGCTAACATTCTCTGTGGTCTGAGAAAGAAAAACAACAAATTTGTAGCTACCAACCTTTGTAGAAGCAAAGGTTGGATTTTGAAGAAGCAGAATGTCAAGTGTAGTGATGCTTCTGAACTTTAATGTTAGAGAAGACTCCTGAAAATATCACAAATGGTCCTTAAGCAAATCAACCCAGAGCTCTCACTCAAATGATCTCAATAATTTGCACAAATGATCAGCTCATTTTATCATAATTTGGACATACTTTTCTCTCTCGGAAAATCTGTAATGCTGGGAAAGATGGAAGGAAAAAGAAGAAAAAGACACCAGCAGTATTGTAAACTGAATGGATTAAATTAAAGTGGTGACAGAAACACCAATGAAAAAGGACCAGATTGGAAACAAATCCATCTATGTAGTCACTAAGAGTTGAGACCAACTTGATGGCACATAATTAATTAATCACCACCAAAAAATTGTTCAAGAACTGTAGACTGATTGTGTTTTGTTTCACTTTCATTGAAATTAGATAGCTTTGTTGCATTTTTTTGATAGTCTACATTCAGTTCTGAAGATACTACTGGTGTGGAATAGAACAGTCATGGGTCATTTGTCCAAATTTTACTAAAGATCAGAAAAAGTTTCTGTAGTTGAATCCTAGGCTTTTAAGGCTAAATAATGCTGTTCCATGGTCCCCATGACCTCCAGCAAGTCTTCCCCAAATTTAGAGGTAGTCTGTGCTAAGTCATGGTTTGTTTAACCATGGTTTACTTTGAGAAGCTAGCCAAAGATGAAAACATGGGTACCATGTCAGTGAATCACAGAACAGAGGACACTATTCTGGAAACTGTCTAGAGCAAGGATACTCAAGGCCTGGGGCCCAGATCCAGCCAGCAGGGTACTTAGATCTGGCCAGCGGTGCCACGCTGGAAACAGCTAAGGATTGCCCCCGCGGTGCCTCTGCCAGTGAAAACAGAGCTCGTGAGGGCTGTGGGTGGCCTTCACGAGCTCCGTTTTTGCTGGCAGAGGGTTGCAGGAGCCTGTCACAGCTGAAAATGGAGCTTGGGTGCCCGTTTTCTCTGGCAGAGCGCTTGGGCCACCACAGACGCCCCTGACATGAGTGATGATGAGCTGGCCACGGGCCCCCCTGGCCACGCCCCACAAACCCCTGAGGTCAAACACAACCCTGATGTGGCCCTCAATGAAATCAAGTTTGACACCCCTGGTCTAGAGTGTTGACTGTTAGCAACAAATTTCTTCAAAGAGCACTGTGAAATTTAAGCAATATGGCCAGAGAACTGGGCCTACTTCTGACTTTCAAACAAGACCACCAGTTTTTTCCTCCACAGAAGGTACTTTAAAGGCACCTTTTAACTCCACTTTAGTTCCAGTGAAATATAGTTTCCTAGCCTACCAGTTGCTAGGCTACCACAACATTCTCCTTTGCCTGCAACTAACCACAAGCCAGAGCTAAAGAGAATGAACACTGAGGACAGTTACTGGTCTGCAAGAGCATCACTCAAAGCTTTGGCAACCTGAACTGTGTGATGGAAAATGTATCTGCAAAAAAACTGGAACAATATTCATATTCATGTTCATATTCTCTCTCTCTCCCTCCTTCTCTCCCTCTCTCTCACACAAAACATCGCAAAACATCTCATGTAAGTCATTCCAGCTGCACAGCCCAGCTGTACACACACATACACTATCTCTTACTCATTCACACACACTTACAAAGAGACAGAACCCATTAGAAGCTTTCTTGAGGATCACATCACTGTTTGGTGAAATGAAACCTTTTATCAGGCACTCAAGAGTTGTTTTCTCCTTCAACAAGCATTCATTTCATGGAAATCTTAGATGCACTTGCTTTTCCCTTCCAGAACGAGAGAAGAATAAAAACAAGGCATTTTTCTAATATTGCATCTTTTCCCCTGGTTAGCATCAAAAGACCACCTTCCTATTAGGTTTCACTCAAATTCAAAGTTCAGTTTTTAATACACTAAGGTTTTTATAGCAGCCATGGGGATCAGATATGTGCGGGGAGGCAGGGGGTGGAAGAGAAAAAGTTTTTCATATTAAATTATATCTATAACCTGCTCTTTTCTAGCTAGACAATACCCAAAACTACTGTACATGAAGCCTGGCAGGAATGCCTCTTGATGAGCTGCCTCCTGGTGCCTTGGATATGCTATACAAGAAAGATTACATAGGACTGACCATTTCAGCTGTTGCAAGGGATGCTTTATTTCTTGAATAACATTTTTGAATAATTATGAAAGAATACAGTATTGATAGAATAAATGTAATACAGTGTTACTCAGAGATGAGCATTGAGGATACCAAGATGTGTTCTATGTCTTCATAAGGGCTACAGTATAATAATTTATGAAAGGTATAGAGCCATTTCTCTTTGTTGAAAAACCTGTGCTTGTTTTCCAGATGTATTGTAAGATGTTGGCACTACTTAGTAACCCAAGGTCAGCAAAAGATGTAATCTTCCTTTCAGAAATTTGTTCATGAGTCATATGATTTCAGACTTTGGAATGCAATTTTTAATTGCACAACTCTCTCTGCTTTGTTTGTACATGTTTAGTATTCACCCTGGCTAGATATTTTTGTGGTTTGGAATATTGTTGAAATCTTAAAAAAGGAAATTTAGTAACCAAATTAATTGCACACACAGCCATTGAGGTTGGAAAAGATGAAAAAATAGAGATGACTAACTGATTTTGCCACAATCTCTCAACCTAGGGAAGGGTGTGCATATAGAAGCTGTTAGATGAACTCCTATGTACAGAGCTAATATTAAAATGGGAAAAACATGCATTCAAATCTTATAGTATATATTCTTACATCTCTCCATTTAGAGCCTCTCATATCCATCCATCCATTTTCTCTGTCTCTGTGTTATATACATTCATCCAGTGGTGAAATCCTCCAAGGTCTGCTACCAGTTAGCTGCATGCATGCATGCACAGTGTATGCTAAATGTGCAGTTCGCACACATGAGCACCACAGGTACTACCACGCAGGACCGTGCAAGATCCTGGTTTTGTCACCTGTCTCTAGATTTAATCAGACTCCCGATCTGGGAAGATCAAAGCAATTAAAAATGTTTTTCTAGCACAATAGGATTATCATATGTGCTCAGTATTGCTCAATATTGCCAGAGAAAGTTGGATGTTAGACTCTGAATGTCCTCATCTAGCCAAATATCTAAAAGGAGCTAAATGTTCAGGATTTTTTATTTATTTATTGTTTATTTTATTTATTTCCAAAGATCCTTTACCACATTCCCCCACCTTCTGTGTCAATGCATATCCTACGCTCTTATAAAAAGATAAGAAGAAACTTGCTGCATTGCCATGGTGGCGCAGTGGTTAAAATGCAGTACTGCAGGCTACTACTGAAGTTTGGCAATTCGAGTCTCACCAGCCAGGGGTGGGTTCTAAATTTTTTTACTACCGGTTCTGTGGGCGTGGCTTATTTTGTGGGTGTGGCTTGGTGGGGGTAATGTGACTGGGTGGGCGTGGCCAACCTTTTTTAAAAAAAACTTTTAAAAGCATTTTTTCTACAACCTTAAGACTTTGCAGAAAAAAATGCTTTTAGAAGCCTTTGATGATCAGGCAACTCAGCTGGGATCACCAGAGGCTTTTAAAGGAATTTTTTTTTCTTACAACCTCTTCGGCCGAAGACGTTGCAGAAAAAAATGCTTTTAGAAGCCTCTGACAATCCCAGCTCAGACGAGCGATCCTCAGAGGCTTTTTTTTTTTTACTTTTAAAAGCATTTTTTCGGCCGAAGAGATTATAGAAAAAATGCTTTTAAAAGTTAAAAAAAAAAAGCCTCTGATGAGGTGGGCGGGGTAAGCGAGCAGCAACCGGGCCGGGACCGGTTTGGGGGTATGGCCAGCCAATGTTATTATCGGTTCTCCGAACTACTACAAATTTTTACTACCAGTTCTTGCGAACCGGTGCGAACCAGGAGCAACCCACCACTGTCACCAGCTCAAGGTTGACTTAGCCTTCCCTCCTTCCGAGGTCAGTAAAATGAGGGCCCAGATTGTTGGGGGCAATATGCTGACTCTGTAAACTGCTTAGAGAGGGCTGAAAAGCACTGTGAAGCAGAGTCTAAGTGCTATTGCTAAGTGCTATTAGCCCATAGACCTATATAGTCCACAATACTATGTCACATGACCAACAATTTTCTTTAGTCGGTTCCAAACAACAGATGGTTAAGATATGCTGGTTGTGATCCAGAAGGTAAAAACAGTAATAAATAATACTAGCAATTTATTCATTTATTTAAATGATTTATAGAGCTGCTCCTCTCATAACAGTGATACATGAGATAGGCAAAGACTAAAACCACCACGGCCACCATTTATATCCTGACCCTCCATGAACTTAAGGAATTTCTTATAATAACTTGCCATTGCACAAGAGTTGACCATGAATTTAACTCTGCCTTGCATGAACAGGAATTTCTTGTGGTCAATCAACAGTCTGGTAGAAACAAATGTTGTTCAGAGTCATGAGCTCACTACATCAAGTCCTGTATCTCCCTATATTAAGATTTAATGGTGGTCTTGAGTTCTAATTTCATGAGAGAAGAAAAGAAACACCTCTCTCTCTTCCCCCACACCACCCATCTATACTGTGGATAATGTTATATTCTTCCCTCTTATTTTCCTGGCTCTCCAATTCTTTTCCAATGTCCCCACTTCTGATACTATTTCCACTTTTTCTTTGAATCCTTTGTATCCCTCTTCTGTATCTGTATTTGGTTGCTCTTGGACTCACCAGCAAATCTCAGCAGAGTTTTCCAAGATGCTTGGCTCATACTTGCCTTAAGTTTCTTCAGCACAACACACCATAAATAGACAATAGCTTTTAAGCTGAATTTAAAAAGTTACTAAATATGGATATGCAATTTAATTTATACCCCCTGTAACTTAATTTTTGCCCTCCTTCATCCAGGCCTCCAACAGTTTAACTGATTTGTTGCCATGTCTTTATGAATTTAAAGTTTGATGATTCTTGGTTTTTAGCCCTGATTCCCACTTCCTTTCTCCCCTACTTCCTGTCCATCTTCCCATCGCTCTTTACATGGCCAGCCTCAATCTAGGAATCCAGCCCAGGATACTATGTTTGCTCTGCTTCTGACTTCCTTGTTCAGATCCAGCCCTTTTCTCTGTTCCACCAGCATCCTGGGAAAAACAACAACAAAAAATACATGAAGAAAAGAAGGAGTAATTGAGCAACGTGGTTTCTTATTTTTTTTTAAGTGCTAAGTCTTTTCATGATCTAATGAATCTCTTTGTGGTCAGTACAAAAGAGCAGTAATTCAACCAAATTCATCCACATTTCCTTTCTTGATAACCAGATGCAAGTGTATGATGAGAAGAGAACGAGGACAAGAGCTTTTTTAAAAAATAAGCTACTCTGAAATAGAAAGAACAAAAAAATGCACCCTTTTTTTGTGCATCCATCAGCTCAGTGCTCCTCTGTTCTCCACACTGATGGAAATAAAGTTTAAATACATTTTACACCATTTGCCAACATACCAACAATGGATGGCACTATCTATATAAACCTAATTAATTAGATTGCTTTGCTAATTAATTGGGTAGCTGCCTCCACACAAAACTATTCAAAAAGTCATTTTTGGGATATTTGCCAAGGCATGCATATACTACAACTATGTCTGCCTTGAGAAAGCTCTAAACATAATTTTAAAGAATTAGCAAGCACTATATATTCCTGGTACTAAAAAGGTGGATTTATGACACAAAGTCCACATTCCATGTTTTCATTATAAGGTTAAATGGTAGCTCAACTGGTCCTATTCCACACCATGATTTGGACTTGCTAAGAGCAGAAGATATGCACCTAAGATTTCACAATCATCCAAACTTCTGCGACTCAAGTCCGTTCTTAACATTTCATAAATCAATTCTTCATCCATTTATTCTCGGGTTTGGAGATAGAAATATATGTACTATTGATCGCAGAAACTGGTCCACTACATAGTCTTATGCCTGATGTTTTTTGCTTTCCTCTGGGATAGCCTTTATAGTTTAAGAATTAAAATATCTTTGTTGCACTTTAATTCACAACTCAGTTTCTGATAAAATTCTGGTTCTTCTCTATTGGTCCCCTAGGAACTTACCATGACATTCCACTCTTTAGTTTAAGTGCTTTGAAGTTATTTATAATGTACCCCTTTGTATTCAAGGAAATAGCAGCCTGTCAATCTAGCAGAGCGGAGCCTTGGCCGCAAAGGGAAATGTACACTGGAGTAAATTTCCCCAAGTCATTTGAATGCCTGAAATGCTTTATTCTCTGAATGCAGCAAAGGGGATAATGCATACTGGCACATGTTTTTTCATAGTGGATTGAAGCTACATTCTATTAGAACAGCAAAAAAGATTTCTCTATCGCTGACAAAATCATATTTATTAGTCAGCATCCTATAACTGTTCATCTTTTATCCATATCTATGAAATTGCTATAAAGGAAGGAAGGTATGTGTTAACGCAAACTGTTTTCTTTTATCAGAAAAAAAACTCATTTTTTTCAACTATGCCCAAAAAAGGAAAAATAAAATAAATTCACCCAAAACAGATTTAATAATTTGACTGATGAAACAATGGCCAAATACTTAAATAAGTAAATTATTGAAGCAAAGGAAGTTGTTTTATATTTAAAAAATCCTTTTGCTAAATTATTAAAATGACTAAGTTGTTGAGACACATTATACATTATTATAATTGTATAGAAAAACATGAGGAATGTGGGATAAACTGGACAATCTTTCTTGATTTTTATCATGAAATTTCAAAATAAGAATGTCTATGGAGATTGTCAATCATCCAGGTCATGGATGTCCCAAAAGCGCTTTTCAAAAGGCAACTGGACTTTCTTGGTTTTTTTTCTTTGAAAATGTTTCAGTTCTCATCCAAGAAAGTGCAGCTGGCTTTTGAAAAGCACCTTTGGTTTAAATAAGAACATTGATATAATACCCTTTTTTACAAATGAAAATAAAATATTAAAAATAGTTACATGCAGGAAAAGAAAGACCCTCTTACAAAATGGGTTCCCTACTGTCAGGTCAAACAAGGCTTAAGAGAATGGACCCAATCCTTCCTCCAAGGACAAGCCAGCTTCAACCCCATTTCATTCCTATAACCAATCTTCCCCAATTGTATATCCCCAACTGTATATTCCCCAATATAAAGGTGTGACTCCAAATATGTAAACTTAAACTCTCAATTCTCTGGTACTGTTAGGAATTACAGTAGTTTAAATGTACACATCACATCTGAAGAGGTCCCAGTTTTGTGAAATTGCATTAGATTTCTCTAGATTTCCTTAGAGTACAGGTGAAACTCGAAAAATTAGAATATCGTGCAAAAGTTCATTTCTTTCAGTAATGCAACTTAAAAGGTGAAACTAATATATGAGATAGACTCATTACATGCAAAGCGAGATAGTTCAAGCCTTGATTTGTCACAATTTTGCACGCCAAAAGGAGGCATGCAGTAAGTAGAACAACGCACAAGGGAGGTATGTGATCAGCTGTGCCGCGCAATCTTTTTTTTTTTTACTTTTAAAAGCATTGCTTTTAAAAGTAAAAAAAAAGCCTCTGACGATCGCGCTGTTCAGCTGTGATCGTCAGAGGCTTTTTTTTACCTTTTCAAAAGCATTTGTTTTACAACGTCTTCAGCCGAAGAGGTTGTAGAAAATATGCTTTTAAAAGAAAAAAAAAAGCCTCTGACGATCAGGCAACTCAACTGGGATCGTCAGAGCCTTTTAAGAGAATTTTTTAAACAATCTCTTCGGCCAAAGAGGTTGTAGAAAAAATGCTTTTAAAAGTAAAAAAAAAGCCTCTGATGATCGTGCGACTCAGCTGGGCATGGGCGGGGTGGGGGCAGGGATTTTTGCTACCGGTTCTTCGAACCACCCGCTGCCATCGCTACCAGATCGGGCGATCCGGTCCAAACCGGGAGCATTTCACCCCTGGTTTGGATTCCCAGGAGGGAGGGAGTGTATTCCAAAAGACCAAGAGGCAACTCAGTCAATTTGTGTGAGAGAAAGTGGGTGAAGACTATGCCTCCTTAGAGTGTATGTTTTATGAGGGTAGTATCTTTGGCAAGATTCTGTCTATAATTGAGGAACAATAAAGAAATCTGCTTAGAAGAATTACTGTATTCTTCTTAGTTTTTGAGGCTTGACAGTACATTTCCTTATACAGTAGTCACACAAGTTTCAGTAGCCTAGTCATGTGATCAAAATTTGGATGTTTGGCTACATGTATATCTGTGTATTTGCATGTATTACAAACCCTTGCAGCATCTTGGGATCATATGTTTTTCATAAATTGTAGCATCTATGAACTCATTCATGAAATTTTACCTATGGATGGCTAGTATTCAGAGGACTTTCAGTGTCATAGGTTATGATAACAATTGTTCCAGGGGGAAAATTTGTTTTAATTGCTTTTCTTCTTTAATAACTATTTTTTATTCTTTGTAAATTTTTTTGTTTTGCATTCTTTGCATACTACTCTTGACTCTTTTGGGAGGAAAAACAGAATAAAAATATAAATAGCAGTTGGACAGGACCCTTTTCATTGCCATTGAAGTTAGTGGCTCTACAAAGGTCTCAACTCTCAGCTAAAATATACTAGTTTTCCATTACACTGGCTGAAAAAAACTTACACTGAAACAGTTCTATGGATTCACAAAAGGGAAAGATTCTCAAGCTGGAATCTGTGCTGTAATTTTGCTTCACTGAAGGTCCTCAGCAGACGATGGCAGCATTTAACTGAATTGAGCTTGAAAGTTATGTAAAATTAGGATTGATTAATGCTCAAGTGGGAGAGCTCCAGGGAATAGTAGGGATGCTAAGTCTAGACTGGAGAATTTTAAAACATGTCTCAATAATAGATAAAAGCCATTTTTGGCTTTTGTTGGCTGCCAACAAAACTACATGGATATATTCATAAAGTCACCAGAAATCAAACTCGGTAAAGGACCTTACTCAGCTGCCCAGTTCTTCCCCATAAAACTAACAGCAGAAACTCAGAGCTGTATTCAAGGAAGTAGGGTGGCTCATGGACACACGGAAAAACAGAAGAGGATCTGGGAGCAACCCAGAATTTACTATATTCAAATCTCATTAACATCCATTGAAGCAAGCAGAGTTACAGGGAAATGGAGAATTTTCTTCTTTTTTTAATTTCCAGCTTTCTATGTGTGAAGCAGAAAAAGTAAGATATTCCTTGAGGAGATTGTGAAATTATGCCTCTTGAGACATCCTGAAACTTTTAACACATGACTAGTGAATTAATGTTGAAAAATATTTAAATTCCAGAGCGTTGGTGTTTAATAACATATAATCTGTGATTCCAAGAGCTTTTTCACACATTGCAAATACCAAGTTGTAGTATTTGCTGTCATGGCGCCACAGACCAATACTACTTATGGATATTTTCAACTTAAGTGAACATTTACCAGTATATTGTAATCTCAACAATTTGGTCAGAAATTTGCCTCCAGAACTTCAGCTACTCAAATGAAAAATGAACAAAACCTTGAGTTAAATTTCCTCAAACATTGTGATGTCATCATGGCATAGTCATCTTCTTAGTGTAATAGTGATAAAAGAACTTTGTTCCCAATAAGTAATGGCTATACAGGCCTACACAATGCTAGAGAAAGATTGACTGAAGAGTTTTCCATTGTGCCCAAGAGATTAGTATTCAACAGCTACAAGGATACCTTTGCATACCTATATTCATTTGGACAATTTTCTTGACCAAAGATGAAGATCTTTAATGACTTCATGATCCATTCCAAAGTTGTCAACTTTGGAACAGATCATGAAGTCATTAAAGATCTTCATCTTTTCTCCTATGATAAAGGTTTAAGGCTCTATTCTTAGCCCTAAATAGTACAATTTTCTGTGGCACATGTCAGAGGATCAATGCTTTGACAGTCCTGTCTATTAAGAAATGAATGGTTCAGTAAGTTCCAAATTTCAGCTACTGGATAAACTAGGGGTGAAAACCAGCAGGTTCTGACAGGTTCCAGCAGGTTCTGACAGGTTCTGGAGAACCGGTGGCGGAAATTTTGAGTAGTTCGGAGAACCGGCAAATACCACCTCTGGCTGGCGCCTGAGTGGGGAGGGAGTGGAGATTTTGCAA